TGACCTCTGGAAACTCTGGGCCTCCACGTTCCTATCCTCAGATGGGTGTAACACCTCACCCCCAAAGGGTGGGTTTCAATTTGGGTCTGCAAGCAGATCTGGCTTGAATCTAATAAAGCCTGAGCTCGGTTCCCCTTCCCAGCTTCCAGAGGTGATGCTCACCTAACCCACCCACCTTGCTTGCTGAATAACCTTTTTGCTGAAGTGCAGGGCTGAAAGTTGAGTATGCTGTCTGTTCCCAGACAGCGGTTGCACCTATCCCTTACTTTATTGCTAGAGGCCTCCCCCACCCTCCTCCCCCGCACCAAGGACTTCACCTTGTCACTCTCTCCATCTCCAATGTGAAAGACACAGCTCTCACTTCAAAGGAGATGAAGAAATAGTTTATTGTGGAGCCAAATATGAATGATCATGGCCCAGAAATACAGATCCAGTTTGCCCCAAATAACCATGTTCCAACGTGGTAATAATTTTTGTGATGTTTTTATAGTGACAGAATAAAGAAAGTCGCTTTATAAATATTGGTGATACATCAGGTAAGCTGGTTATAGCAAAGCAGGGAGACCTTGCTATGGGTCCCAGATGCTGTGTGATGACTTCCTTAGCAGTAGGAATCTGCTTACATGTCCCAAAACCTTTCCCCAAGAGTCACAGCATGTTAGGACACACACAGATGTGGATGACAAGTGACTATTTAAGGAGCTAAGATAGCTCAAGATACTTGGTGCTGGACCTGCAACGAGCTAATCTCTCCCAGTCCCTGAAGTTCTAGTTAAGTCAGCCTTTGTAGAATGCTCAGTTTGTAGTAGCTGCTTTTTTGGAACTTTAATTCATCCTGCTAGGCCCTTCCTTTTCCCTCCCCCTTCTTTTCTCATTTTCCTTCCCCCCTCCCTCCCTCCTTTCTCCTACTGTATCTCCTCCCCTCACTCCTAACCTGTCTTACTCTGAAAACCAATGAGGAAGGCCAAGAGAGAGAGAGAGGACAGGAGACTCAGGACAAAGCTGGGGTCCCCTGGGCAACTGGGGCAGTTGAGCCTAAGTGTTTAGTCAGGAGTTGAGTGGAAGAACAGGAAGCCTTTTCTCTGGGTCATCTGTGGCTCCTGGGCCAACAGGGTCTGGCTCTCAAGAAGGAAAAGGTCTAAAGGTCATTTTCTGAAGACCAGTGATTTAAGCTTATCTCTCTTCTCAAACAAAGACCACCAAAGTGCTGATAGTGACAATGAGTGACCTGCCCTGAGCTAGAATGAGACATCATCATCCCTTCAAGGCCCAGGGAACATTGTTGAAGATGGGCAGAAAGACTGTGATAGGGATTAGAGGCCGGGCAGAATGCTATGAAATGCTCTCCTGGATCTAGCATGGCCATGGGCACATGTCAGTTGTGGTTGCCAGCATGAGACCTGTGTGTGTGTGTGTGTGTGTGTGTGTGTGTGTGTGTGTGTGCTAGCACGTGCACATAGACTGAAGACATGAAGGACGAAGGGGGTTTACAGGAGTGGGATCAGGATGAGGAAAGGCAGTGGGGATAAGTATGATTACAGTACATTGTAAACACATATGAAACTGTAAAACATTGAAGGAAAAATTCAATTACGGAGATTGGTAAAGAAAACAAAGTTGTGACCACCACCAAAGGAAGCAGGAAGCCAGTGTGGTCTGGAGCTCTTGTGAATCGTAGGGCCTTTTTCCTCCAGAGCTAGCTGGCTCTCCTCACTTGTTTGTCTCTCGTTGAGCTAACCTCAGGCACTTCTCCTAAAGAAATGAAAACAGATGTTAAAAAGCTTCACCTGGGAGGCAAGTGGCTAAGTATTTACTGGCTTTTCTGTTGTTGGTCCTCCCCACCAATAGGGGCTATCAAAGCCAGGGCTTTGCAAGTGCTAGACCAGCACTCTGCTTCACAGCTACATCTTAGTCCTTCAAATGCTGCTGGCCTCTGAACCGGCTCTGGGTGTTGCTGTCCCTTGTCCTGAAGCATGCCTGACTGAGACTGGGATGAGATGGCACTGAAGAGACTTGGGGTAGTGGTTAACGAAGGCAGGCATCACGGGCAAACAGGAAGAAGCTCATGAAGGGTTCCTGTGCAGCCACTGAAATCAGTGAGCCACATTGTTTGCTTGGTTAGTGCCAAGCCATAGAATTGAGGTGTAGAAGAATGTGTATTGCAACACTCCCAAATGCTTGTGTATGGGAAGGTCATAGGGCTATTGAGTAAAATACAGAATGACCCATTAATTTCCAGTTTTGGAGACTCAACCACTGTGTGAGACACAATTGATTCATAAGTCCAGGAGACTCAAAGTATCCAAACAGAAGTAGCTGAAGCAGTTTTACAACCTTGCAAAGTCTCAAGAGAAAAGGTAAAAATGGTAGTGCTCCCATTTGGTGCCTGACGGTGGTTTTTATAGTTCTCAGGTGTGAAAAATTTCTGTCCACCTTTTCCCATAGGTTGATTCTCCAGTAAGATTTTCTAGCATAGCCCCCCAATCAGGAGTGTGGTAGTGGTGGGTTGCAATATGCTCTGTCCTAGTACAGGGGCTCAGTCATGTAGCAGACTAACCTTTCAACCCCGACATAAACTAAAGCACCCAGGAAAATGGGTGCCAGCTCTTGGCCAGAGAAGGCACGGGGTCTCCTGCTTGCTTGCAATTATATAGTGAGTTCTAAATGCACTTTCATATTGAAATGCATTTTCATACTGAAAATGAACCATAATGGCTGATTTCTTACTTTTTCCCAGGACATACTTAGATTAAAAATAGTCTCTATTTCTTTGAAATTCAAATTTGACTGAGCATATTGTATTTCTACTTGCTAAGTCTGTCAAGGATGGAGAAAAGTGTGGAGGGAAATACGCCACTTAAGGATGAAATTAGTTCATTTTTATAAAACTTATGCGTGTATAAATAAATGAGAAAAAATCCCCTTTTGAAGGACTGCTCATCTTATAAAGTAAAAAAAAAGAAAAGGTAAATGGCAGAGTAATGAATATACTGAGATATCACAGGGCAACAAAAAATACAACCCTGTGGTTCATGTTAGAGAAGATAAGGCTTTGAAAGGACACCAGCAGGCTGCTGAAATTGCTTCCTCAGGATGTGAATGGGGACATGGGTTGGTGGGGAGAAGACTTAGCTTGTGTGTATGTGTGATGCTGAGGAATTAACCAATGGCCTTATGCATGATGGATAAATGATTTACCACTGAACTATAGACCTAGTCCCCTCTCCCTCCCCATTTACTTATTTATTTTCAAAAAATATATAACTATATAACTTAGTTGGCCTTGAACTCACTATGGAGCCTAGGCTGTCCTTAGACTCAGGGTCCTCTTTTCTCAACCTTCCTTTTTAAAAAATTGTGTGTGGTGTTTGCATGTCATTGCATGTGTGTGTGTGTGTGTGTGAGAGAGAGAGAGAGAGAGAGAGAGAGAGAGAGAGAGAGAGAGAGAGAGAGAGACAGAGACAGAGAGTCCATCCTCCCATGTGTAAAGGTCAGAGATTGCTATCTTGATTTTTTTTATATCTCTGCTTTGTTTTGGGACAGGGTCTCTCACTGAACCTCAAAATCACAATTTCAGCTAGACTGGCTGGCCATTGAGTACCTGGGACCCACCCTTCTCTGTTCCCCTAGCCCAGAGGTTTCAGGCATGAGTCACTGTGCCTGGCTTTTGCATGGGTTCTGCAGATTTGAACTCATATCCTCATCCTCATTCTTGCACAGCAAGCACTTTAACCATCGAGTCATCTCCCCAGGCCCTGTTTCTACTTTCCTAAGTGCTAGGATTACAGGAATTCACCACTAACCCTGACTGAATGCTGGCTAGTTTTCTGTTAACTTGACACAACCTAGGGTCATCTAGGAAGAGAGACTCAATTGAGAAAAATGCCACCATCACATTGGCCTGTAGCAAATCTGGGGGACATTTCTTGATTAATGATTGCCGGGGGAGGACCCAGTCCATTTTGAGTAATACCATCCCTGGGCTGGTGGTCATGGGTGCTATAAGAAAGGAGGCTGAGCAAGTCATGGGGGAACAAGCCAGTAAGCAGCACTCCTTCAAGGCCTCTGCATCAGCTCCTGCCTTTGAGTTCCTGCCCCCACTTCCCTGGGTGATGAACTACAAGCAGGAAGGTGAAAGAAACCCTTTCCCCTCCAAGTTGCTTTTGGTTACAGCGTTTTATCATAGCGATAGAAAGCAAACTAAGATAAGGAGATAGTTTGAAAACTACCTTTTGGTTGATATGATACCAAATAATGTCTATTATAACAAAATTTAATTTTGTTTCCTTTCTTTTAGGCAGTTTCTTTCTATGTAGTCCTGACTATCTAAGCACTCTCTATGCAGAGCATGGTGGCCTGGAACTCAAAGAAATCTGCCTGCCTCTGCCTTTGCCTTCGATGTGCTGGGATTTAAGGCATGCACCACCATGCCTGGCCATATTTTGTGTTGTGTTGTGTGTGTGTGTGTGTGTGTGTGTGTGTGTGTGTGTTTTGTTGTTTTTTTTTTTTTTTTAAGTATCAAACAACTAAGGCCTCTAGCCAAGAACTAAGAGCATAAATTTTGGAGCCTTACATTGTAAAGTCCCTCAAATGGTTCTGCATTCCCCCAGTTTCCATGTGCAGAATGAGGGTAAAGTAACCTGTCTGTTGTCTATAAGGTCAGCCATAGCCAAGCATTGAAACATTGTACAATGTTTGTAACATGCGCAATGTTAACGACTACTTTTTTTTTTTTTTTTTTTTTTTTTTTTTTGGCAGGGTTTCTCTGTGTAGCTTTGGAGCCAGTCCTGGAACTAGCTGTTGTAGACCAGGTTGACCTCAAACTCACAAAGATCCGCCTGCCTCTGCCTCCCGAGTGCTGGGATTAAAGGTGTGTGCCACCACCGCCCGGGCGACTACTTCTAATGACAACTCTTATTACAAGAAATAGTCTTGGCTCAGTGGATGAATCTGCTTGCTATACAAACCTGGAAACCCTGAACTCTTTAGAAAGAGAGAACTAACCCCACAGAGTTGTTACTTACCAGTGCAACCCTCCTCCCAATAATAATAAAATTTAAGGAATTAAGCTTTCTTTAAAAAGAACATAGTCTTAAAAGGGAAACTCAGGATGAGGGAACCAGCTATAAACCTGGGTGTGCTGGAGGCAAGCCACCAGCTGCCTTCACACCTGGGGCCAGACCCTTCTGCTCTCAGGCTTAAGCTGCCTATCTCCACCTGGAAAGAGCACACTGACAGCCCTGGGTTTCGCTTATTCACTCCATAGCCTGGAATAGCTGCAGACACAGAGAGAAGAGATCCAGTTCTACCCTCAAAGGTGACCCAGTAACTGGGAGGTGACACAAACCAGGGAGCAAGTGCTGGAGAAAACATGCATGGGCACAGAAGCAGGAGGAAGCATGAGAGGAGTTGTTCAGCCACTGTGCTGGCACACACCCCATCCCCCACCCCGCCCCCCCCAACACAGGCGGGGTCAGTCACTGTGCAACTGATTCCCAGCTAGATGAGGAGGCAGCAGGGTTGAGGGGAGAGCAAGGTACCTGGTGCTGATTGAGAATGGGCAAGGGAAGTAAGATGTCACACCGACAGCACCTCTGAAGGATGTCATAGGCATCTCCTGTAGGAAGAGCTGCCCTCGGCTGGAGTGCAGGCTTCAAAGGCAGACCCATGAGGACATTTTGGTCCTTTGTCTCTCGCTTTGTTGAACTGTTTCTAATTTTTGTCTTTGGACGAACATCTGTCATCACTGTGGATGTTTGATTTCCAGCCACCTGGCTTGTAAGAGATGGAGGAAGGATTTTTGGCTTTCCATTCTGAAGATATTTCACAGTCCTTGAGGCTGGGCATTGTTTCTGCAAATGTAATGTGTGAATTAAAAATGACTTCAGCTGCAATAGTTGGACAATACAGCTGAGATAACCTGAAAGGTTTCTCCCTATAAACCCTTAGAAATGACGGATAAGGGGCAGCCACATGGCTCTGTGTGGGTGAGAATGCTTGCTGTCAAGCCTCAAGACCTGAGTCTGATCCTTGGAACTCACATAGTGGAATGGAAGAACCTATCTCCACAAGACCTTTACTTAGCAAACACACACACACACACACACACACACACACACACACAGAGAGAGAGAGAGAGAGAGAGAGAGAGAGAGAGAGAGAGAAAAAAAAAGTGTAAAAAATTTAATACCTAATAATATAAGGCAGACATTCAATGTTACAGCTGACTTTGCTGGAAGATCGAAGACTCAGGTTGCAAGGATGAGGGTTTGGATATGTCCCTCTAAAAATCCAGGTTTTGGGGGTCTGGAGAAATGGCTCAGTCATAAAGGGGACTGGCTGTTCTGGCAGAGGACCCAGGTTTGGTCGGTTCTCAGCACCCATGTCAGGTATCTCATAACCATCTGTAACTCCAGTTCTAGGGGATAGGATGCGTTCTTCTGGCTGCCACAAACATTGCATTCATGTGGTGCACATACAGATTAGTAGGCACCTGAAGGTTGGTGACGGTTGGAGGTGATCAGGGCCATAAGGAGTTGTCAGGGCTACTGCTTAAAGGGCCAGGCACAAGTGAAAGCCAACTATGCATGCCAAATTTGCCTAAAGAAAACATTGGGAAAGAATGAGAAGCAGAGGTTTTCTGTTTCGGGTGTGGGTTTTTTTCTTTTTCTTTTTTCTTTTTTTTTTTTGTTCTGTTTTGGTTTTGGTAAGTTTTTGTGAGTGTGTGTGTGTGTGTGTGTGTGTGTGTGTGTGTGTGTGTTGGGTATTTTTTTTTTTGTGTGTGTGGTTTTGTTCTTGCTTTTGTTTGCTTGCTTTCTGACTTTGTTTTGCCTTCTTTTGTTGAGGGGGCTGCAACAGAGATGAGGGGGGAATATGAAGTATGAAGGGACTGGGAGGTGAACAGAATTGGGGCACATGATGTGAAACTCTCAAAGAGTCAATAAAGAAGAAAGAAAACCTCGAAACATAGCAAAACTAAACAAAGTAAAACAACAAACATTCGAACCTTTGATAACTGTGCTGTGCAAACTTGACCTAGAATCTGCTCTTTCACACCTTGCTTTTGGTAGTATGAACTGGCCACTGGCACAATTAGAAAATGGGAGAGTGCTACTCACCATGTGGGAGACATATTTATTTTCTGGAATCATTTGTTTGCAGTAATCACAACGGGTTTTCCTTTCAGGAGATACATTTCTCTTCCCTGAGTAGATGCAGATACGCCACAAATGACTGTTTTGACGGTGGCTACCCTCCTCCTCCCATGCTCTCATGGCCTGTACTCACGAGAATACCATTCCTAGACTAGCTTGGTCTTGTCCCCACACTGCCAGTAGCCACTCTGGAGAGGACTGGCTGGCCAGCCATTTTTCTCACAGTGACACTGATGAAGAGTCCCTTTCCTGGAGCAGAACTGGTTTTTAAGCAATTGAAAGGGGCTATGTACATAACTGCCCCAAAGGGACACTAGCCCATTCCAGCAAGTGGCTCTGGCAGGCCTTGCCCCTCCCATCCCCTTGCCTTACTAAAAACCATTAGATTACACTCTTGAAGCTAGCCACCAAGGGCTGTTCCCTCACTTGGCCACTTCCTCCTCCCGAGGCCGTACCATCAAAGTCTAGCTAACAAAGTATTGAAGTTCAGCCATCAAAAATCCCTTTGACTCACCCAATTAACAGGCCCAATTAAAATTAAACACCTCATGCTACCAGAGGCTTTCCCCTTTTACCTTTATAAAACACCATTTTCCTATGTGCCATGTCTGTCTCCTCTCGATCCAGAGGCAGTCCTTTGTCCCCAGCAACGACAAATACCCTTGCTCTCTTTCCCCTGTTCCCTTCCCCTTCTCCCTTGTCCTCTATCTCCTGTCATTTCCTCTTATTCCCTGACCTCTGTCCTTCCGAGGCAAACAAATCTCCTTTGTGCTGAGAACAAGGTCTCTGGGTCCTGAACCGATACATTTCCTTTCACACCCAGACTGCCAATTGAGCTCAGGTTTTGTGAGCTCTGTGATCCAACCAGGCGTTGGTTGTAACATCACTGTGCTAAAGTTGTGTTGTATTGAGCATGTCACTGAACTTGGGTTGGAGACTGTTAGTTGGGTGGGAGACCAGGCACAATGGGATGAAGGAAAAGTACACATACTTCCTGGCTTTCCATTGGCCACTTTTGATCTTGGGTAGAGCGTTGACCTGTGGGACTTACTAAGGGGTTCCACAGTTTCTCCACATGTTATCACATTGTCCAAACAACCAAGTCAACAAAAGATGTGAAACATGGGCAACTAACTATGTTCTTGGCAAAGGCTCCTATAAAGAGGCCAGTGGTAGAGCACTTGTCTAGCATGTATGAGGCTCTAGGTTCAAATCCCCAGCACTGGAACTGCAGAGAGAGGTGGGGGTAGAATATGAAGTGATACTAGAAGCTGATAAAAGACGCTACAGCCTGGAGCTATAGCAGCCTCCCGTCGGGCCATTGCTAATCCCTATGGTTTGGATGTGAACACCCTACCCTCTTAGTGAGCTCATGTGTTTGAACACTTGGTTCTTAGCTACTAATGCTGTTTTGGCACCTTTATGAGGTAGAGGCTCACTGGAAGAAGTGGGTGCTGGGTTCAGGCTTTGAGGTTTCTTAGCCTAGCTCCACATCTTGTGCTTTCTGTTTCCCACTCTGGGTTCAGACTGACCAGTGCAGTGCCTCGTGCTCCCGAGGTCATGCCTTCCCCAGCACAACAAGACTGTTATCTTTCAAACTGTAAGGCACAGCAAACCCTTTCTCCCTTACAATGCTTCTGCTTCTCACCATTGTTTATTTATCACAGAATGGGAAAAACAGGCCATACACTCCAGTGGAAAAGAAGGATCGAGGCTTAGCGCTAGAAGCTGGAGTGTCCCTCCATCTTATTGTTCTCTGAGGTTTGTGAGGCGTGCTTTTCATCTAGAGGATGATTCAGGTGTAGCCTTACCAGGCCAAGATTATGTCTTTGGCTTGTAAATAAAAGCCCTTCATATTTATGATTCCCATGGCTTTCTCTCCCTCTTCTCTGTGGCTCTTACACCCCATCCCTGGCCTCTTGTTTTTCCTGGGTAAGTCACTGAAAGGCAAAGCAGACACACAAGAAGGCTACTCCAGTGCCATACTCCAGTATGGAAATGTACAGAATGACACTCTTCTATCCTGTGCTGTTAAGGGTTCCTGTCCTTGCATCCTTCCTGCCCAGGAGACTGGCTCTGGAAACTGTCCTCCCCCTTTCCAGCTTCTCCCTGATGCTCACCTTCCTCATGCTTGGCCTTTGCCCTCAGACACACAATTTTATGCTGGGCCAACATTCGGAGTGTGATGGGCTGGTTGCAGTGTGGACAGCCCTGGGCTCATGGGCATCCAGTTTGCCGAAGTGCACAGCCAGATCACAGAACTTGCACCTGGCAGGGTGCTGTTGGATTTCCTTGGTCTGTGGAAAGATGGAGGACATGGGCCTAACTCCCTAGGAAACTGAAGCCAATCAGAGAGAGTGCTGGCAAGGGTCAGAAGCAGACATTGTCCTTGGGGATCATGAGTTCTTTTAGATTCACTGTTCTAGTTTGCTTTCTGTTGTGATAAATAAACATCACGACCAAAAAGCAACCTGGGGAGCAAAGGGTTCATTTCATTTTACATTTCCACATCATAGGCTCTCATTGAGGGGAGTCAGGACAGGAACTCGATCATGGCAGGAACCTGGAGGCAGGAATTAAAGCAGAGACCATGAAGGAGTGCTGCTTAGTGGCTTGCTTTCTTTACAACCCAGGACCACCTGCCAAGGAGTGGTACTGCCCACAGTGGCCTGGATCTCCCACATCAATCATTAATCAGGAAAACGCTTGTAGAGACACCCTCAGATCAGTATGATGGAATTCTTCAATTGAGATTGTCTTCTCAGGTGACCAGAGCCTACGTCAAGTGGACAAAAATGAACCAGCACACTCATGGATCATGGAGATCTCCATATCAAGCACGTATGTGGGGCAGAGGAATCTGCATGTCTGAGTGGGATGGTTCTCCACAGTACTCCTAGCCACTCACGTGGAGGGGTAGTGGTCAGGGGGGAATCTTTATGACTGGCCTCTCCTCCCCTCTCTGCCTCTTTCTCTCAGGTTAGCTTGCTTGCCTCTAGAGGAGAAATCCAACTTCAGCAAGGGAGGGCTTGCACATGCTGATGGCATTGTGCAGACTACCCAAACTGTGCTGACTGGTTTTATGTCTACTTGACACAAAGCTAGAGTTATCTGAAAAGAGGGAATCTCAATTACCTCTCCCATAAGATCTGGCTGGAAGGCGTTTTCTTAGTGATGGATGGGGAAGGGCCCAGGCCATTGTGGGCAGTGCTATCCCTGGGCTGTTGGTCCAGGGTTCTATAAGAAAGCAGGCAGAGCAAGCCCTGGGAAGCAAGCCAGTAAGCAGCACCTTCCATGATCTCTGCATCAGCTCCTGCCTCCAGGTTCCTGCCATGCTTGAATTCCTGATCTGACTTCTTTAAGCCAAATAAACCTTTTCCTCCCCAAGTTGCTTTGGTCATGGAGTTTCATCAAAGCAGTAACCATAACTAGGAAACAAACACATGGACACACAGTTGTGGGTTCTAGCCCAAGTCCTTGATCTCTCCTTATATCACTCGGGCTAGCCATGCTTCACACTGGGGTCCACGAGATCCTAGAGGATGGAGACTAGTAATGGTTACCTCAGTTTTCCTCTAGCACCTAGCCTAGGGCCCAAAGGTGTTTGTTGGACCAGCTTGAATCTAAATGGAGCTTGATTCTCAGAAAGATAAAGCCTCATGAGAGTCTGACCCAGAAAGGCATGAAAGAAGACTAAGCTGGGCCCATCTGTCTTCTCCTTACAAGTCTCTAAAGACTATCAAGCCTTCTTTAAAATGGACCCCATACCTTGCCAGATCCATGGTCCTGCAGTGGAGAGTAGAAAGGGAAAAACGGGACTGCCTCAATGTAGCACAAAAAACCTTTTCTCTTCCCAAACTGAGGAAAACATGGAGGGGCTAAATGACTTACCCACAGGTCCAGGAGGACTGGATTCCAGCTACTTACCTACTGACCCCCAGGCCTCTGTCCTGACGCCACCTGCTTACCTGCTGGTGCACAGTTTCGGCGTGCTCCTTCATCTTTGACTTAGGGATGGGCTCCTCACATTCTGGGCAAAGGACCAGGAAGCGCAGGCAGTGGGCCTCGTGGAGGGTGAAGTGGACAGAGGCCACATCTCTTTTGCTTCAGGATAAAGTGGGGGAGAAAGAACGGCTCATTGTCTAAGTATAAAGCATGAAGCCTTGTTGCATACCTAGGGCAAGCTCTTCCCAGGCCTGCAGCATGGAAAATACAGTGATGCCTATGATGCCCTCCTGCCCTGCTTGTGCTGGTGGAAAAGTAGAAAATTCACTATCTTAAGTGTGAGGGCAGTCTACAAAGTGCTACACTGCCCAGGAGAGTGGGCGCAAAGGAGTGGTAGGAAGGGGTTACCAGGGCAACCGGGCAACTTTTCGAGAGTAATGATAGATTGATTTCCTAGGTTGTGGGATGATTTCACAGGTAAGTAGCATTTCTCAAAGTGTGTACTTTAAACATGGACAAGTCAGCTGGACCTGTTGACACAGGTTTGAAATCCCAGCTGTTCATGAGACAGAAACAGGAGGATGGCTAGTTCAAGGCCTACCTATGCTATGGAATGAGTTCAAGATCAGCCTGGGCAATTTAGTGAGACCTTGTCTCAAAATGCAAAGTAAAAATAGATCTGGGGATACAACTCTGAGTGATTGGCTGCTCTGCAATACCCTAGGCTTAGTGCCCAGCACTCCCCCCACCCCCCAGAGAAGATGGAGGGAGGGAGGTGAAGCTTATCCTTTTTGAGTTATCTCTCAGTAAAGCCATCATGGAAACAAAATAAGGAACATGTCTGTTGGCATCAGAAGCCCTGCTGGCATCGCAACCCTGTCATGACCACACTTCCTACACGGTGAAAACAACTTTCAGAAGCTCCAAGGGTTCCCCCAATTCTCCAAGAGTGAAAGTCCAAGCAGCTGTCCCCTGTCCTGGGCTCTCCTGAAGCTACCCAGAGAGGGGCTGAGGCCCCGGGAGAGTATGCCAGGCAGGGTGTTCTCTGATAAGCTCATCACCGGAAATGCTGCATCTTTCCACCCACTCATGCTGGTGGCGCCTAAGGAGAAAGGAAACTTAAGGAGAAAGGAAACTGTATCGTAAAGGGCCAGGGGAGGTGCCCCAGGGCCCTACCACCTGGGTCAGGGCCACAGAGGGACATGACAAGCCTGAGTGCTGTCAGCCTGACCAGGCTGTCCCCACAGCTACACAGGGTGAAATCCCCTTGCTCTGCTTGCTCTCTCTCTGTTCTGCTTACCTACACACTCAGCACTTTTTTCAGAGTCTGGACAGAGATCCAGGACAGGCTCTACAGAGAGACAAGGCTCCCTTTTCTTGGAGGTACGGCCATTGCTCACTGCTGTGTATTCCATGTTCTACCCCCCAGCTCCTTTGTCAGGCAGAGGGTGGAACCCTGGAGCACCTTTCAAGTTTCCTCTCACAGATGGGTGGGAAGATTACGTTGCCAGGGCCCACATGAGGACCTAAGTTTCCACAGGAATGAATAGCCCACTAGGGACAAGTCCCTGGCTAATTCATGGCTGACCAGCCAGCCTGAAACATCCATGCTGAGGGAGTGTAGTGACCTTGAGGTACCACTGACCACTCCACCCTTCAGGTTTGCCCTCTGGTGTGTCCCTTATCCTCTTCACTTCAGAAACTGTGTTTTGCTTTGCCCCTCTCTGCTCTGCCCCTCTCTCTGGCCAGCCCTGGAGAATGCCTTCTTACCAGTTGCTGCACACCTGGGAGTCAGCCTCCATAGTCTGCTCCTCGAACACAAGAAAACAAAACTGAAAGTGTTTCCTCAGCCTGGCTCACAGCAGCAGGGAGGAGGGAACTTTCAGTATTCTCAGCCCAGGGCAGTTACCAGGTCCCTGCATCAGGACACTCCCAGAAGGCCACTCTGCAGCATGATCTAGTCCCCCTGCCATGTCCCTTATCCTGTGCTGTTCCTGAGCTACTGTGACTGCGACCTCTGGGGTGGGGGTCAGCGGACAGGTCTCCTCCGGGCAGCATAATGGCTCCTTCCTTCCCCCTCCCTGACTGGTTTCACTGAGTCTGGATCCCCACCCCTTTCTCGACCTGTGACATGACTCCTCCACTCTATTTCTGGTCCCATAATCTGTGTGAAGCTTGAGTCTGCTCCCTGAAGAAGGAGCCCCTGCACCATTGCACTCTGCTTGGGTTTCAGTTTGTAGCGACTGAAGATCTGTGAGGAACTGGGCAGGGGGTGCAGGGTGCTGTATGCTTAGTCTACAGGCTTTGGGGCAAGTCTTGGGAGTGGCCATGGATAACACCCGAGTTTGTCTTCTGCTGCCAAAAAACCAAACCAAACCAAAACAAAAAACAAACAAACAAACCAGTGATGGCAAACACTAATGTAAGCCCAAGGAGACAGGTACCACAAAGAGACCTTGTCACCTCACCCTCAAATGGTGCAACTGAGGCACCAAGGGGCTTAATAACCAGCACAAGTTCCCAGGTGGCCCAAGGTGTGATTCCTCTGCCACAGCTTTAGTGCAGTGGGATCTGCAGTCAGATCCTGATAAGATAATTAACTGAGTCATCTCAGCCTTCTGGAAGCTGTTTCCTTGTTGGCTGGCTGGACTTTAGGGTCCTGGTGCTCCTAGAAATTGTATGCAAAATCACCACTGCCCTGTCAGAGTCTGTTTGTTGTCAAGGAGGTGCCACAGCCCCAGGCAGCTGACTAATCACCCTAACCAACCTCATGTCTTTGAATCTTTGAAGTTCAATGATTCCAAATCCAGTTAAAGGCAACCCTTGTCCACAAGGATTGTGCTGCATAATGGAATCAAGTGGATACGGAACAGCTGCTGGTTTCTTGTGTTCATTTTCTTTTTTCCCCACAGGAAGAAACAGTGTGTCCTTAGTTACATGAATAAAGATGACAAAATAGGTTTGGGGGATAGATAGTGGGTATGGCACTTACCTGGTAACCCTGAGTCTTTGGGGTTGGTCCTTACTACTAACTACTACTACTACTTCTCTCTCTCTCTCTCTCTCTCTCTCTCTCTCTCTCTCTCTTCCCCCTTACACACACACACACACACACACACACACACACACACACTGCACACACAATCACAAAATAGTATCTTTCAGTGACAACTGATATATTTACAAATACAACCATGCACTAAATAATGACATTTCTGCCAACAGTGGAACCATACAAAAAACAGTAACCACGTCATATTATAGAGAACGGAAGAAGTCCTGTCACCCAGTGATGTAGCAACTTTTGAATGTCACGGCACTGAATCACCTGCATTTGTTCTGCCCTTGGCAGGGTGCAAGAAAGCAGAGGGGCAGCTAAGCTCGTAGACGAACCCCTGGAATCCAGTTGCAGAGAGGGAGGAGTGATGAGCAAAGGGGTCAAGACCATGCCGGGGAAACCCACAGAAACAGCTGACCTGAGCAAGTGGGAGCTCAGAGACTCCTGTCTGACAACTGGAGAACCTGCATAGGACCAAATCAGGCCTTCTGAATGTAGGTGTCACTTGGGGGGTCTGGGCAGTCTACGGGGCCTCTGGCAGTAGAACCAGTATTTATCCCTAGTGCGTGAACAGGCTTTTGGAACTCATTCCTTATGGAGGGATACTGTCTCAGCCAAGATACAGGGGGGAGGGCCTCAGTCGTGCCTCAAATGATGTGACAGATTTTTGATGATCCCTCATGGAAGGCCTCACTCTCTCTGAGGAGTGGATGGGGGTGGGATGGGGAGAGGGTTGGGGGAATGGGAGGCCTGGAGGGAGAGGAAACGAATTGGTATGTAAAATGAGATTGTTTTAATTTAAATAAAAATTAATAAAAAAGCAGAGGTGTGTGTGAATATGATCAAGTTGTATTATATACATGTATTAAGATACCAGGAGTAAGATGGTATCTCAGAGTGATTTTGAGCTGCATTTCCCTGATGGCTAAGGATATCGAGCACTTTCTCAAGTGTCTTTCAGCCATTTTGGATTCCTCTGTTGAGAATTCTCTAGTTCTGCACTCCAACTTTTAATTGCATTGTTTGGTGTTTTGGTGGCTAGCTTCTTGAGTTCATTGTATATTTTGGTGATCAGCCCTCTGTCAGATGTGGGGTTGGTGAATATCT